TCTCTCTCTCTCTCTCTCTCTCTCTCTCTCTCTCTCTCTCTCCGCCCCCTTTACGTGTGGAGAAAACAGAGGCCTGTTTTGAAAACCAGATACTGAACACACAGTTGAAGATTCCTTGTAAGCTTTCAGTATTCAGTGTTCATTTATCCGGTGTCGAGAGAAAAAGAGAAATAAAACTGCCGGCGGTCAAGATATACATGACACACATAATCTGCTTCCTTTTCAGGTTGGACCAGGCAATAGCAGAAACGAAGAATATGATTCATTGAGCTGATGGGGATGTTCAAAAATTGGATGTCGATCACACAACAGTTGTAAAATCTTTCCCAAAATATGGCAAAAACTCAAAGAGGTAAAAAATAATATTCACAATATTGTTTGAACAGTCCCACTTACCTTTTCTTCTTGTCGTGTTGCATATAGCAACTGAACAATTTGACAAAATGGCATCTGACATGAAATTAGGTACAAAGCAGAGTTGTGTCACTGAATTCCTTTATAGTAATAGTAATGGTAATATAGCTGTTTGCTTATAAGGAAGCATTCAGCCTTTATTGACCGAGCAGCTATTTTATAAAATCTTTCTATTAAAAGGATTTTTTAGGAAAATAGGTTTCTCAAGTTCACTATTTCCAGTATTAATGGTAGTTTCCTTCCTAGCATTTTGTTTTAAATAGTGTGGAACATCAACGCCTCATGGCATTGTTTTCTCTTCGAGAGAGACGTGCTAGCCATTTTAGTTTTGATGTAATTGAAAGTCTTCAAGTGATGTGCTTTCTGTTATTTGGTACATTTGTTTGCCTGTGATTCTGTAGCGCCAGTTGACAAGGCTCGAAGAAGGATGGTCCTCTTTAAAACCATTCGAAGATCCTTCGCTTAAAGTCATTTTTAATGTGGTCAGAGAAAGCAGTTTGTATACACCTGACAGTTTAGATATTTATGCACGAGTTTGGCCGTATGCATGACATCTATATGAAAATCTCGATCTGACGAGGCTACTTAAAGACATGACTATAGTTTTTAATGTTATTTTGTTGGTTTTCTAGCAACTTGCCCTGTTCTGTGTTCATTTCTAATCTCCTAAGTTAAATTTGTATAACTAAAGATTATTGGCAAAATCCAAAGGAGGATCTGCATTGTTATCAGTCATGACCTGGCATCTCGGCTTCAATCACATTCCCACAGCCCTAACGTCGTTTACCTGTGCCTTTTCTATCAATATTTTCATGGTAATTGTTCTGGTGAGCATTCCTTGTTCATACCTCGACTTCATGAATTTAAGCGTAGTACTAGATTGGCAGTTAGGTCTCATCATTTTAATGTTGAAATTGTTACACATGACAGTAAGTTCTATGTTAATAGTTCCTTGTCTCCTTGAATCATGTTCCTTCTAATCAATAACGCTTTTCTCAGTTTCTTTCACCATCGATAACCACTTGCGTCTTAGTGGCTTTATTGCCTTACTTAGAATGAAATGATTAAAAATAATCAGTACTCCGAGATATTTTCAAGTGTTTTGTATTTACTAATTTCGTGCGAAAAGAATTTCATTTATTGGCATTCATCCTGCATCTGTTGTGGTTTCTGTGAAAATAAATAGGAGTAAATACTTTCAGAGTACTTCCCATAATTTATATACACATGCTAGCTTGGTGACTGAGAGTTGCTTATTTGCCAACAGTGTAAGTGTTCATACTCAAATAAAAGTCAGAACTTCGAATATTGCTCAACAAGAGAAGCGGCCCTTTTCCACTTCGAAGTTGGCGCAACATAATCTGCGTAACTCTATTTTATGCCGATCTCAACTTAGTAAACATTTATGTACATAAAATGTAATTATTCTCAAAAGAAATAAACAGTTTAAGAAACATCTCAGACAAAACTCAGCCACGCGAACTGACAGATTTTAGGAGCGTTGACTCAAAAATATACCATTCAAAAACAATAAACTTGCATGTTGACTAAGAAAAGATATTGACTCCGTAGAAGATTCGGAAGTCTTTAACTCCCGATAAGAACAAGGTATTAACTGAAATTATATAAAGTAATTGGCATTATATACGATATCACTACTGTAATAATCTGACCCTGAAAAACTGTTGAAGTAAGAGAGTAGAATTTCATCTAAATTATTTACTCCGTATTTTGAAAGCATCTTCCGGAAAATGAACTGGTAATGAATAAGAGTAACCAGGAACACAAAATATTTTTACCATCTACCAAGTGCTGAAAATATTTTACTAATATCAGAATCATTGGATGAATTATAAGAAAATTTCAGTGATCCAAATAGGGAAACAATGTAAGTCTTAAAATGAAAAGAAATGTAACATAATTAATGTTTAAAGGAAACATTCCAAAAATGATCATACAGATAGTGAATGAAGAACTGGAAAACGTTCAGGAATACATATAATTAGGACAGCTAATAAAATTAAAGGAAAATCATAAATAATACCACATATAGTTGTAAATCCATTCTTAAAAACAATGACGGTATAATGACAAGCGCTGGAGATATATGCTTAAACATAAAGTGTATATATATATATATATATATATATATATATATATATATATATATATATATATATATAGGGAGAGAGAGAAACAAAAGAAAGTAAGTGGGAATATAAACTAAATAACGAGATATTAGCAACTATATATTCATGTATACTAGATTATATATCAAATATAATAAATATTTATTTAATTTAATTTATAGTGCAAACAAAACAGTGCTCAATGTAGTTAAACAGAGCCGTGAAATATATTTTAATAAATACACATAAACATACGTTAGTAATGCAACTTAAAGTTTCATGGTTTTCCAATTCGTCAGGCACGTAGGGCGATTGAACCGCTTATTACAGTTGTTTTTTTAAAAATACTAGATCTCATGCGAGGAACGCTAAATTATACTCAGATTTAAAGCTCAAAGTTAATACAAACCCAACATATTATTGGTGTCTAAACTCAAAATATAGAGTGTATGGAGTGAGATATTGGGAAAAACAAAGCAAAAAAAATACGATTAAATTTTATATGGCACATGTTTTTCCGTTGTGAAAAAAAAAGGCAAGATTTAAGTTAAGAAATTATAGAGCGTAGCGAGCAAGCAATATATATATATATATATATATATATATATATATATAAAAGTGAACATAAAAGTCAACACTTAGAGGCGACAGTCTGTTTCATGCTAGATGCAATCGTCAGGCCACTATATATGCGTGTATACTAGATTATATATTAGATATAATAAATATTTATTTATTTTAATTTATAGTGCAAACAAAACAGTACCCAATGTAGTTAAACAGAGCTGTGAAGTATATATTAATAAATACACATATACCTACGTGGCCTGGCGATTGCATCTAGCATGAAACAGACTGTCGCCTCTAAGTGTTGACTTCTATGTTTACTTTTATATTTACACACGCTCTATCCCTGATATTGAGCACTTTATCTCATAAATATAGCACATCTTAAGACTATATTTCTTCACACACACACACACACACACACACACACACACACACACACACACATATATATATATATATATATATATATATATATATATATATATATATATGGGGGGAGGCGTGTGTAAGACGCAGAGAGATTCAGGAAAAAATCAGCAGAATTATTAATCCAGGAACTTTAGGTTATCTCAAACTTTTTACTTTGAATCGTGTCTTGCACACTAAGACGATTACTTTGTTTTGTTTTTAATCCACTGATCAAACTACAAGTTTTATGGTTACACGCTTCAGTTTTCTAATATTTTAATATTCACTGACAAGGATCAGAGGACAAATTAGTCTCCTCGAATATCTTGTCGATGGTCCGACGACGATTTTCATTGATTATGTCGCGAGCGCTTTTAGGATTTTACTTATTTCGGCTTTTGCTAAAGATTTTAATTAGCTCATGGTGTGTAGCCCTGTGATATATAACCATGTTTGAAACACAAATGCTGCTCATAAATTTATGTTTTCTTTAAAACTTCACTGTTACAATCTTCCAGCATTACAAATGTCTCGCCAAAGAAAACTTTACACACACACTGGATTTATTTATTTATTATATTAACAATTGTGAAAATAGACTATTGTTCTTTGTTTTGTTTTTTTTAAACACCAGAAAAAGTCATGCTAAACGAATATGACAATGAAAAACCAGGCCGCGTGGTAGACATGGCGGTGCAATGCGTCCAATTCTCATGCCACATTCGAATTCTGGTCTGTTTAGTTATTGGCATTCTATCGTACATGCAACTTACATGAAGACAAAATGAATATTTATACAAGAGAAAAATATATGCTTTGTATAATCAGACATAAAGCTATAAATGTATGTCTATATATTGAGAGAGACTTATATGTGTGTATGTAGCTATTTGTATGAGTGTTTATGTGTTCGTGAACAAAGTTAATTAATACAACCTATAATATATATATATATATTGCAATTTATCTGTCTCTAAAGAACGCGTGCACATACACACACATACACACTCCTAAATACACATATTCGTATATACGTATCTCATTAATGGCATTCACACTATGCTTAGTTATGTTCGTGTCTCGGTGAGACAAGACGAATGTCGCAATGCAATTAAAGCAAGCCTATAAGGTATAAATGAAAGCGGACGAATCAGCGAAAAAAGGTAATAAATGAATGAATTTCATATCTTTGTTTCTGATTCGTTAACTCCTTCATTAAATGTATTCTTGCATCTATTCAGCCAAACGATCTAATGAAAGTCAGTGTTTTTCTATCTGTTCTAAGTTTTTTTCATTTTGTCTTCTCTCTCTTTCACCTTTTCCTTCTTCTTCTCTTTCTTTTTCTTTCAGCAAACGCTTATTTCTCTCCTTTTCTCATTCTCGTCCTCTCTCCTCTTCTCTTGTCACACTTTCGTAGTTCCGCTTTCAGCTGCCTTCTTCCACTCTATTCCTTCTCTCTGATTGGCTCTTTTTTCTCATTCTTGCTCTTTTTCTTTTTTTCTTTCTCTATTTTACACTTTCTTTTTCTATGTGAGCACTTCATTCCTCGACTTCTCTTTATTTCACTCTTTCTTTCTGAACACGTTCCCCCACACACACTCCCCTCTCCTCTCTCTCGCATTTATCCATTGTTATCTTTCCTTTCCTCAATTTCTCATAATCATCTCTATTTACTTCTCCTAAACTCTGTCATTTTTGCTTGTCAATGTGTTTTCTGTATATCTCTCTTTCTGTCGTTGCTAAGGTAGTTTACATTTTATTCTGTACACAGTTCATTTAGTTATTTCATACCCACGAACAACACACACACACACACATATATATATATATATATATATATATATATATATATATATATATATATATATATATATATATATATATATATGATGTGTATTTAGGCAGTAAGTATTTGTCCAACAAATTCAACCGAGAAGGTCTGTCTGATATTTTTTATATTTTCCACTGTTCATATCCGATGTTGTATATCATGATAGAAATTTTGGAAGTTCACGTTTGTTCTTTCAATTTTATTCAAGTACTTTTAACCGTCTCAGTCATTATCAAGAACCATGTGCTGTCAGTGTGCTAGGCAAAATTCCGTTGACTACATCCTGTTATTTTATACATAATTTTGAATCAGTCAAAGTGATGTCATGTGTAACAGTTAAAATGAGCGAGACCACACTTGAAAAGAATTATCAAATATTATGCGTATTATTATTATTTACGTACAGGATGTTTCGCAATTTTTGAAACCAAATGATCTGGCACAAATTAAGGACCACAAATGATAAAGTAATGGAAATTACATTTATTGAAAGGTAAAAGCATAAAATTTTAGAATCTGCAACCATTCAGTCTCAAGCTTATACCAAAAATGTCAAGAGGAGCCGAAGCTCCAGATGTCCGCCGTTCAGTTGATGGCACTGTTGAATACAAAGTTTCTTGATAACGCGTGTTATTCCTCATTCCTCCTGGGTGATCGCTTGAATCTACTCATTGATGACTAAAGGGATAAAGTTTGAGATCATTAATCAGAATTCTCCGAACAGAAGATACAAAGCTTCCAAGTTCTTGGCTCCTCCGTCACGAAGATCTAGACGGACTCTGGCCAACTGACTCTTGAGCCCTGGTGATATTCTTTGGTGTTTGGATTGTTATCGAAGGCCCAGATGGTAAGGAACACTCACCCTACGATCTTCACACGTGCCATGAGCTTCAAAGTTCTTGACCAACTTGAAAATCTGACTCCTGTTTGGAAATGTGCTGAAATTGAACTTCCTTCTGTAACTTGCTTGAACAATCTTGAAAGACTTAGTTTCGTAATATGTCTTCATACGAAATATCTGCTCCCTCGTCCAAGGCATGATTTCGCTATATTTGGTTGAATAGATCAAAATGTTAACTATTTCCCAACAATAATCTGAAAAGAGTAAAAGAATAAAGCCAGCAGGGAAGATCTGAGAGGCCACAGCTTTGTTTCAACAATTGTGAAACACCCTGTATATGAAATATTTTATATACATTTCAAAATACCGTCTTCTGTGGTGAAAGATATTTTATACAACGGGGTTGTCAATTTTGTATAGTAATAGGTTCTAGAATTCTGAGTCTTTCTTTATATTGGTAGATTATTTTGGCATTATCCACTTACTCAGCTATCTATATTGAGACGTAAAAAAAAACAAACCTCAACCTAATAAGTATAGATAGCTGACCCAACGTTACATCAAGCCGCGACATATGTATGGTCTCCTAAGATTTACAAAGTTGGTATTCCGTTAAGACCTCGAGAGACAGATGCAGGGGTTTAGCATTCCACTTGTTGAGCAAATTCCTGATAGATATAGTCAACTCACTAACAGGGAAGTCTTCGTCATATGTCCAAAATTCAGAACACTTCGTGGAATCGATCCGAATAGCTCCTATGCATACAATCAGATGGTAAGCTCGAATGTGGTGAGCCTATTCACCAGAGTTCCTAAGGATGAAACTCTATTGGTGGTTCGAACCGATTGGAATCGGATAAAGAATGTACTAGTACCTCGATAAATAACCCGTCCTGTGTACAGATAACATTTTTCCATCTAGAGTTTGAAATATACCAGCAGTAGGTAGGATCGGCTATGGGTTTGCCGTTATTAACGGTTATGGTCAAGATGTACATGGAATATTTCGAAAAAAAAATGGTTTTAGGAACATTAGTCCGCATGTAAATAATAACTCCTCATTTCATAAATTCAAAGAGAAAATATGTCTTGTGTTATTTTCACAGATATAATTCCCTAGAACAATACATTTTTAAACAGTATAGAATTTATTTTAATGTGGCTCTGTTAGTGATTATTAATTTAAAAAATTTAACTATTTGTAATCGTAATTGTTTATTACTATCTGTGGACCTTATGTATCGATAAATTATATTTTGTACAGGTATTTCTGCTTGTTTGCGAGTTTGAATGCATCTGATTAGGATGAAATAAATTGATTATATTGTCGTCCTTACTGTCACTTTTATCACTTTTATCAGTGTCACTATTGATCCTTAAATAAAACTTTATTTGTTCGATGACAGCATAATTTGTAAAAGTATTATACATGAGAGCTTAATGTTACTATATTCTCTGTAGAAAATTGTTTTAGAAAAGATTAATTTGGCTTCCTTAATTAAATTTTTATGACAGTTTTTTTATATCAATAGGGTAATCCACTTTTGTAGTCAAGAAGGCAAGAGTTATTGCAGGAATTCTTTTATAGACAAGCAATAAACTTATCGCTATCAGGCGTCCAGAAAGGATTGTATTTTAATTAATATTTAGAGAGTATGTAAAGTTAAAAACAAAATTATGTTTGTCTATATCTCTGATATGAGGTATTATAATTATTTACATTATTTACATTATTCGGACTATTATCCTCATCTCCATTGCCATATTCACAACGTTTCTGCCATTGTACGCTCCAGCCTTCTTCAGGTGATTGGAATTTCGAACCGAACCCTTTATTTCGGTAGATTGTTCTAGTGGTGAACCAAAAAACCTGGAGAGTTGAGTTAAAGGGAAATAACTGAGACATCCAGGAGAGGCATGGCACGTGGAACTAGAACAATCTACCCCGCTGGACAAAATAAAGTGTTCGGTTCGAAATTCCAATCACCTGAAGAAGGCTGGAGAGTACACTACGAGAGAAATTAAGAAGGGCATTTTTTATTAGGTTTGACTAAATCTATTGAAGCTAATATTTCGTTGTTGGGTTTATTGGTTTGTGGATTTTTCGTAATTCATTTGTGGCATTAATCCTATATTTACGAGGTAAATACAGAACAATAAATTTATTTAGTGATTTTGAATGATGACATGCGTAAATGGGAGTCTCTGAGATTATTGGGCGCAGACGGGATTTTAACATTATCATTTAGATATCTACCTTGGTAAACAACAATTATTTTTTGGAATTTGAATTCATCAGTTTCTGCATTATTTGCTTTGTTTGGTTTGGTTTGGTTTGGTTTACGGCATATCAACCTCAATAGGTTATTTAATGCCGACAAGTTTTTTATTGCTGATAATATTTTTCTTTTTCAAAAATGTACTACTGGTAATAATTTTTCCAAAAAGGTATTGCTGGTAGTAAAACCTATTTTTTATAATTTCATGGTGTTTTGATTATTTTTTTGTTGGGGGAGGGAACTATTTGCCCATAACTTGGACCCAGACAGGTGCTAACACCCCGAGTCATGGTGAACCTGAGAACACCAGCAATTAAGAAGTGGTTCCATGCTCCTCAAATTCTCCTGATCAAATGTCTTGCTGTCGGATGTAGTTTATCGTCTTATCCAGGACACGGATGGCTTAATTGGTCTGTTATATTTACTTTTAATTTTTTTGTGCTCACAAAAAATGGTTTCGATTTCGTTTGGTAGTTTTCTGTATTTAATATAATGAAAATATTGATTTTATAGGCTTTTCAAATACAGTTATTGTTACGAAGCTGTTTCACGGCATTTCGTAGCTTGCTGTTTACAAGTTTTTTCGTAGAATTATGAAATTTGTTTGAAATAGATTATGATTTTACCAAGTAGCATTGTCCTGTTTAGATTATGAAGAGATTATCATTTGGTAGGCTTAAGATTTTTTCATATAATATTTAGATTTCGATCTTTTTATCGATTATATGTTTTGCAAGTTGCATTTGGGTCCGATACTCAGAAGATTATATTGCTGTTTTGTTTGTTGACAGTCCGAGAAGTTTGTCGAAGGTGACGGATGTGATAGATAAATCTAGAATTTCATTGTATAGAGTGTTTAACATTTTCGGTTAACTCGTGTATACATTATTTTTCATTTTGCGTAATTAAAGGTAAGGCGGTTTTTAATTTATGTATATTTATCGGCGGATGCGAAGTGCATTAAAGTGTCATCAATTTTACGCATTTCGACGCGAAAGTGTTGACTCTCATCGCGCGAAAGATTAATCTGTCGTTCGATGTGATAATTACGAATTTTTCAGTTTAAACAACGTCAACTACGAAGTAATGCAGTTTAAATTGGATGGACCAAAGTAGCTAATGTTCATTCAAAGCGTTTTCCTAAAGATAACAAACAAATTAGAGCGATTATATTTTTTATGAATTTTTCTTTTTGGCAAATCAGGATCCATAAAGGTGAAATGGAAACGTCCACGATTTGTATTAGTTCTTGTTAAGATTCCAAGATTTTGACTGGCTTTAGAGTCCGTGTGATACTATTCATATATATATACATATATATATATATATATATATGTGTGTGTGTGTGTGTGTGTGTTTCATTAAAAACGACAGGCAAGGTACTACGATTAAGCTTTTTATTTAATTTGTTCATGTGTTCGAACAAGTGTTTTCTTTTTTTGAGTGGGGGACACTGAGTGTGTAGAAACTGTCCAAATGTTCTATAATTCCGAGCGCTTTCGGCTTTACTTTTAGCCATTACCAAAGATGATTTTATTTTTGCTTTTTAATTGTCTGTGTGGCTTGTGTGTACGTTTCTATATTTATAGGGATGTTTTATTTTCCGAACACAGCACATTGCGGCCGTGTTCGTAGTTAATTTTATTAAGTGTTGTCTTTTTATTTTTTATTATTAAGGCTTCCATTAGTTTTAATCTTTTTTACATTTAGATGAAGTTATTATGTCTGTATTTTCTACTAATATGTAGAAGTCTGGATGGAGTCTGGTAAGTTTAAAGTTTGGGGTTCTAATGGAGCTGTGGTCGGATAGATATAACGTAAGACATCTGGATAGACATAGAGTAGTGTGACCGATGTAATTATTTATGAGTTCGGTTTAATCAGTTTCTTAACGGCATTTGAACTCATAAATAATATTCGTCGTTATAATTTTGATTTTGCTGGTGTGTTGTTATTTTTTAGGATAAGGTTAGCTGCTTTAAATTTTTTATAATAGATAATTAATTTAATTTTTTTGTTCGGGTCAATTGGGTTAGTGTATTTCTTTATGATATTTCTAAGTGAAGATTCATCTTGTTTGTAGTTAATGTGCATTTGGTTTTTGTAGAAAATATTTATGTTATTTTTGACTGTGTGTCTGACTGTATCGTTATTACTTACTCTGGGGAGAAATAGTCTAATTTGGTGGTCTATGAGGTGGTTAGCCACCTTATAGACCACCAAATTAGTCATATCTCGTGATGTTCATCTCTCATCGTACCTCTCTCTCTTTATTCATTCTACTCTTCTTCCATCTCTCTTTCTCTCTCCCCCCTTCTCACTCTTTGTCTCTTCCTCTCTTTTCGAGGGCCATGTCTCTGTACACATCTCTCTTAATTCATCTTTGTACATAACTCTCTCTCTCTCTCTCTCTCTTTTCATATCTCTCTTTATATGTCCATCTGTTCATGCCTTGGTTTGTATCTCTCTCTCTGTTTTGGTCTCCTCTCTCTTTTTTCATCTCTTCATCTATCTATCTATCTATCTATCTATCTATCTATCTATCTATCTATCTATCTATCTATTCCATGTCCCTTATTGTTTATCTCTTTTCGTATTTATCTGAATACATTTCGAATACCTCTTTATGTTTTTGGATAACAATTAAATCTTTAAATTTATACTAAGCGAATTACTGATTACATATTCTCCAGATAGATACGTTTGCCTGTTATCGCTACGTTAGAAAATAATAATTTATAGAATGTGCTTGATGATCCAAATACTATCTATTTTACAATCAGGAAAAAAAGTCAGAATCTCGCAAGCTATTGATAGGGAATTTGATTCTGATTGAACGATTCATAATACTTTGATTTTTAAGTCAGCTTGGATTAATCAGAATTTGCTTCTAATTTTGTAACTATACCTTAATCTAAATTAATAAACAGTCGGGGTGCGAAGTAAGCAAAATGATTCCTATCCTTTTAAAATGATTGCTATTGGTATGATTTTTGCATTAATTTTTGCATAAAACTTCACCGCAAACTGTCCTATCGCCAGTCATATTCATTTTATGACTGAAAATAAAACATGACAAAGAATAAGTGTCACAGTAGAAATCGCGGTTTGTAATTACAAATTAGTCTATTGTTTAATTTAAATACAAGTTTTGTTAACGACTGATTTCTACTTAAAATGTTTTATTTCTTGCATACATATACACATACATACATATTGGAATCGATGTGACATAGACCTTATCTATTTATGATTTTTAAGTTTTTATGGCCAGATATTTTTCTTTCTTTTTCATACTTCCGTATTTTCTTTTTTTGCCTATAAATATTACATCTTTTCGTCTAATCGAGGTACTCTAATGGTTAGCGTGCTAGCCTTATAAAATATGGCGAGTGAACACGGTCTTCTTGGGCCATTCTTCCCATAGCATCACGATATATTTCTGTTATTTTTTTAAATGTCACTAATTTCCTATTATTGAACATTTTCTATTGAACAATTTACTCTGATTCCTTCCTTCTCTATTACACGTTCTTATTAACTCCCTCTTCTTTCTATAACACTCTTTCTCTTTCTTTTAACTCCTTTTCTCTCTGTCACTTTTGTTCACTCTCATTTTCTTTTCTTTTATTATACATTTTTCTTTCTTTCTTTATGCGAAATTTCTCTTTTATTTTCTTCTTAACATACCTTTATCCTTAAAACACGATCTAAAATTGATTTTTTAAAAACTGTTCAATATTTTTTTGCTGTCAGCCATCTTTTTTCTGTCTTTACATTTTCTTTTTCTTCCTTCTTGTTTCTCTAATTCCTTTTCTTTTTCTTCAGTAATTATCTTTTATTTCTGTACGTTCTTCTTTTTTCTTTCTATCCATCCTCTTTTTCCTTGCTTTCTTTTCTTTCTCGAAGCGATTTTTTTCTTTCTTTTCCTCTTCTTCTTCTCCCTACACTCTATTTTCTATTTAAACAGTTCTTTCTGTTCACCTGCATCTTATAAACATTTGTATTATATCCCCACTCCCAATTAGATTGTCACTCGAGCACCAAATCGCACGACTTGTTTTATTTTCGGTCAATTGTTTGTAAATAATTGAAGATGGATACCGAAGCGGTTTTCAAATTCGGCTTCGGGTGACAATTTACAATTACGACACATTAAAGTAAAACATTTCTTTTTTTTATTTTTTAAACATTGATAAAGGATACAAAACCAGCAGAGATTTTCCTTCTATTTAGCGGTTTTATTTGCATCGAGTGAATTTTTTCTACTTTTTATAAATTTTGAAACATTATTATTATTATAATAATAATTCTTGCTTTCGCTGTTTCACTTTTTAGAATAATTCGCCTGTCGCTTTCACTAGTCTCGTTTTAGAGAAAGATCTTTTAAAGCGGAATGATTGGTTCTACTGTTGTTTGCAGACGCTGTTTTTTTTTTAAAACGTCCGATCTGTGAAAATAAAGAACGCAATTAAAGTAAATGAGATTATATACGGAAAGTTGTCTCCTAAATTCTAATTGTTTTTAGCTTTATTTTGCTTTTATAAAATTGCCCTTTGTAGTTCCATGGCTAAATAGATATTCAAGCCACTAGGGTGAGGGAGATTTTAGAAGAACAAGAGCGTACTGACTGCTAAAATTTGAAAGATTTTATAGCACCAATCTTTCAAAGATAGCATCAGCCTTTTGTTTCAGTCACACTCGACCTTTAATTTTTCCATGAACTCAAAATTTGGCAATTAATAAATGTTTACACATGCCGTTTAAACCATAGATAGATAGATAGATAGATAGATAGATAGATAGATAACTAAATAAATAATTAAATTTGACACTCAGTTAAACTGATGTAGTATATATGCAAAATGAATATTAAGAAAAATACACTGATAGAAAATAAAATTACGACACCCCAAAGAAAGATACAGATTTTGGCTGGGGTTCGGTAGACACGGTGGAGTAATGGTTAGCGGCTCAGGTTGAGAAATCGGAGAGCCGAGTTCGAATTCCAGTTGAATCCATGCTAATCTTGCGTGCTAATATCCTTTGGGAAAGGTATGAATCCTCTTTTTCTCCCCACCCCCAGCTATAGATAAATAGCAGGCCAGACCGGGTTCTATAGCCTTAGATGGCAACTGGTCTACCGCAGAATAGAAATGCGGAAAAAATCTGCCTCATTAGTTATGTATCGAAAGACACATGATCGCCTACGCGTGTATCACGCATGGCACATAACTGACTGACTGACTGACTGATATGTATGTTAGTGAGAAGTAGATATTTTCATATTCCGTCTTCGCCCATTTTATGACAGTAAAACTTAAATCAGTGCACAGCCTGTGGTCTAAGTTTTAGATAGTGATGTAGCCTGCTATACGGTTCATTGTGTTGAAAGAATCCAGTGCCAGTCGGTGTTTTACCAGGTAAACGCAAGTATGCACACTTTGTTCAATTAGAGTCGTTTTAGAGAGAGTGAATTCTGTGTGTTCGAGAATCTGGTTGGTCATTTTGAAGAACTGATGCGCTTATTGGACATGACGTGTCTGTGTGAGGTTAGACACAGCTCAAATGGATATTCCTACAACCGTAGACCAGGTTGTTGACAGACACGTAGTACAACGTCCACAGTACAGATCAGAGCTATTGTGTCCTCAGGAATATCAGAACGTATTGTTAGGAATCATTTCCTTATAATATGTCTACCAGTATACGTGCTTCTGACCAAACTTCCATTTACTTCACAACACCATTGGCGTACATCTCCAGTCATGTTAAGAGAAGGTCAGTTATTTGTTCCGGGTGGTCGAATCACACTCTGCAGAGTTCATTAATGAGAGAAGAGTCTCTTTTCAGGCACTTAATGGCCGTATGCCTTTCAAAGATTGTTCACTTATGCTACACATTTTCAAGCCCTTGACATTATAGTGTGGGATACCATGTTACGATTTTCGTCAGCCTTTGACGTTTATGGTGAAAATATTGATTTAGTTTTGTTTTTCTCTTTTGTTTTGTTTTGTTTGTTTTTTGTTGTTTTTTTTTTGTTGTTTTTTATTTGTTTTTGTTTTTTGTACTGCATATCAACCTCAATGGGTTATTTAATGCTAACAAGACTTTTACTGCTAGTAATATTTTTCCTTTAAAAATGTATTGCTGGCAATAATTTTTTTCCCTCAAATATTCATTGCTAGTAATAATTTTTTACAAAAAAGCATTGCTGTATTAAAACCTATTTTTACACTTTCATAGTGTTTTGACATCAGTTTGAGCCTATATCTGGGACCCTAACAGGTGCTACCACCTCGGGTCCGTGTGGACCTAGGAACACAAGCAATTAAGAGGTGGTTATACGCTTCACAAAACCTCCTGATCAGGGGCCTTGCTGTCGAGTTAAGTTTATCGTCTTACCCAGGACACGAAAACGTTGCACAGTTCCATGTATATCAAGATTGTTGTTTCACTCATTCTGTTATCATTCATGCAACAGGAAGATATAGTGCAGTGTGGTATCTGCTATCTGTACAATCGTATACATGCGACAATAGAGGTTTAATTAACGTCAATAGAAGACTTATAATGTATTATGTTGTTTTACTACTCTTGATAGACGGACAAATATTCCTCAATATGCGAGATCATTTACTGTAAACTAGTTGTACATTTGGGAGCAAACTAAAAACGAGGGCATTTATAAGAGAAGTGATGTGTAATCAAGAATAATTAGACAAAGCAAGTAATATCACCTACAGGTTACAAATTTAACATAAACATATAAAAAAATAAAAATATTTAATCTAGTAAAGACTTACTATTTATATGCCCAAAAACACATACGTATATACACACATACACAACAACATATCTATACCTACTCGTACATACATACATATACATATACGTGCGCACATATATATATATAAATACACATACACTCATGCATGCATATACACATACACACATATACACATAGACATACACAGATACCCAAACACATATACATAAAACCTTACACACATTCATACATATACATACACACACTCATCTAAGCAAACATACAACGTATCTATGTGCATTTTTCATATCAAATTTACCCATTCTGTGTGCAACTCCACACACACACACTCACACACACACACGCACACACACGCACACACACACACATATATTTATGTGTGTGTGTGTGTGTGTGTGTGTGTGTGTGTGTGTGTGTGTGTGTGTGAATTGCACACAGAATGGGTAAATTTAATATGAAAAATGCATACATTCTATTCAAAGATTATAAACCGAATTTTATCAATAGCTTGCAGCCCCGTTTAATTAATCGCTCAAAATCTGAGTTGGGATTAATTTCTTAAAGCATTCTTAAGAAAATACCATCATGTGTACTGGATAAATATTCAGTCAACCTTTCCTAAAGATCCCCAATAAAAGGAAAGCTACTTTCATCCAATTTGACATATTGGATTTTTACCCTTCTATTTCGGGGAACTATTAATTTATAGCCTTAATTTCGCAAAAAGATATACTGAAATCACAAAAAATGATCTGGTAATTGTTTTAGCGTCAAGAAGATCAATACTTACATACAATGACGCTACTCGGGTGAAAAAGAATAATGAAAGTTTCGATGTACCTATGAGAGCATTCGACTCTGCTAAAATAGCAGATTTAGTGGGCATATATATTTTAGACACTTTGAGTAGAGTAGTTAACCTTAACCAAGTTGAAATTTATAGAGTTGACGGCTTAATCATTGTCCCTAATAGCAATGGCCCCTTGACTTCCAGCTTATATAAGAGGATCATTAGGGCCTTCAAATACCTAGGCCTTAAGATTGAAATATCTTCCAACCTTAAAATAATCAACTTTTTAGATATCACCCTCAACCTCCCTAATGATACCTCCCATAAAGTTGACCAGACACCCTTATACATCAATGTCCACTCTAACCACCCGAAATCTGTAATAGATCACATCTCCAAAACTGTAAATACTAGATTTCTAGCCAGAAAATCTTTAATGGAAATAAATTTACATATAATCAGCCTCCCAAAAATAGTGGTTTTAAACAGGAATTAATCTATGACGAAGAACTAGAAAATCATAGTAATAATAGATCTAAAAACAGAAAGAGGAAAGTAATATGGTTTAACTCACCGTATGGCGGGCTTTCCAACATTGATATAAGCAGTTTCTTCCTAAGATTAATAGACAAACACTTTCATAGTAAACATCCACTATATAAAATTTTCAGTAGGAAGACACTGAAAATTAGTTATTCATGTAATAAATAAACACGGTTTTATAACATGTTGTTATCTATAACGGTTCGATCTTGGATCACTAACATCGAACATGATATTTAAATGGAATGATGCTTATTGTTACCTATATATATATATATCATTGTCTGTGTTTATGTGGTGCTCTATATATTTTTGATCATTTAATTTGTGTTAGCTGACTTTATTCATATGTTGGTATATGTGTATGTGGGTATGTATGTAAAAAGTTTTTCATAAATAACTGATATACAAAATCTGATAGTTTTCTGATATTTTTATATACCTAGATATATATGTAGACTTAAGAGATATATACGCGTTAATCACTCCGTGGTTTTTTTTTTCAATATTGTTAACGTTTTCTTCCTCAGTAGTTTTTTAAGTACAAATTAGTTTAATTCTACCCATCTATTGTTAAATGTATGTATGGATGGATGTGTGGTTTTTTACCTTTTACTTTTTAATTATATAGATAGATAGATAGATAGATAGATAGATAGATAGATAGTATATTTGTTTAGATGAGTGCGTGCATGTATATGTATGAATGGGTGTAAGGTTTTATGTATATGTGTGTGCACATATGTGTATGTATGTATGTATATATGTATGCATGAGTGTATGTGTATATGTATGTATGAATGTATGTGTATTTATATATATGTGCACACGTATATGTATATGTATGTATGTACGAGTATGTATAGATATGTTGTTGTGTATGTGTGTATATATACGTATGTGTT